AGAGAGAGAGAGAGAGAGAGAGAGAGAGGTACAATCAGGCTGACTCCTGGATGAGCTGGAAGTGTGCGCGAACAAGCCAGAGGTGGAGGTGGTTTCGATCAGTAATCATACGTGTGTGTGCGCACGCGCATCTGTGTCTGTAGCAGACAGAGAAGGCAGGCTGGCGACAGAAACCGGGGGGCACACAGACAGAGAGACACACACAGAGAGAGAGAGAGAGAGAGAGAGAGAGAGAGAGAGAGAGAGAGAGAGAGAGAGAGAGAGAGAGAGAGAGAGAATGCTAATTTCGTGTTGGTGGAATCGTGTCGCGGTATTTTACGACGTTTATCATATTCATTGATAAGAAGTGGATTTACACTGACATCCGATCACATTCAGGTTTGTTTTTTTTTTGTTTTGTTTTTTTTTCCCGTACAGTACTTGTGGTACAAGTATATCCATGAGGAAACGTCCATCCGGGAAAAAAAAAAGAAGGAAACGTCCACGTGTCTACCTGAGGGAGCGACCCTCCACGTGGCTACCTGAGGAAACCTCAACGTGTCTGCCCGATCAAACTTCCACGTGGCGACCTAACTAAACAGAGCTCCACGTGGCGACCTGACCCTAAAAGCGGTCAGATACATCCAGGTTAGCACAGGACTGTACATCTGAAAGGAGACCGACAGGCAGACAGAGAGGAACGGCAGACAACCATCACCTAAAAGGGTGGATGAGTCGATCGTTCTTCTTTTTTGCATACTCACGCTAGGTAGTACTTTACTGGATGTATCTGGCTGCAAATACGGCCGGCGCGGAATGTATCTTACCGCAATTGCGTCTAGAACTGAGTCGAAAAAAAGTCGTCCTGCGAGTATGCCTTTATTTGCAATATGACAGGTGAAGACTGCTCGTTATATCCTTGCGCATCGTCCGCGCCTTCTTTTTTTTTTTTTTTTTTGTCGGGCTTTTTTTCATGGTTTGTTTTTTTTTTTTTGCTTTTTTGTCCCTCCTTTTTCTGCCACCCTTATCTCCTTGCGCTCCCTGAAAAAAAAGGGGGGGGGGACGGAAAAACGTGGCTGCTGCTCCACGTTATTTTGGGCAGGCTTGATTACACAAGTGTACTTCCGTGGATGAATCTGACCAGCATTGCCGGCAAGAGTCGATCGAGAAAGTGCCAGTGTGAAAGCCATTCAAAGCGTGCTCTCTCGAGTATACGCATGTAGACTAATCGTTGATGACCCGGTGCCACGTGACAATCAAGAAAGTGCCACGTGGCAATCAAAACTGCCACGTGGCAATCATGAAAGTGCCACATGGCAATCAAGCAAATGCCACGTGGCAATCAAGAAAATGCCACGTGACAATCAAGAAAGTGCCACGTGGCAATCAAGAAAGTGCCACGTGGCAATCATGAAAGTGCCACGTGGCAATCAAGAAAGTGCCACGTGACCAGGATATTGCGTGCACGCCGCAATAAACTGCACAAAAAATTGGGGAGAAAAAAAAAAAAAAAAAAAAGCTTGGTAAAAGCAGATCAACACGAAATACTGAAAAAAAAGCCTGCAGACTTTCAAAACTGCGTGTCAAAAGTTTGTATTAAAAAAAAAAAAAAAAAAAAAAAAGGGTGGGGGCATCATCGGCATGTAAATTAGATTTGGATAAGTTGTCAGATTAAAGCTGCAAGACAAAATAAACGCCAAATATTAATTTGCAATTTGTTAATTAAAACTGGACTTATAGAATATTTCAGCCTCTACTGATTGATGAGTAGGTAGGTGAAACTCCCACGAAACAGTTTGTCACAGCCCCTCATTTCTTGTCCTCTTCTCTCTCCCTCTTCTCCCTCTCTGCCTACGGTTTACCGTAGGCAGATCTGTTTGACGATACATTCTTAACGATTAAAGTTATTTCAGATTTATTATAATTTAATTTCAAATTTTTAATAGGACTTATAACGACGACTACAGTAACGTTCTTAGCATTTATTACATTCGCATTCATAATGATTTATTATGATTTATTATGATTTATTATGCTTTATTATGATTTATTATGATTCTTTGCATTTATATAGTGCCTGCGGTAAACCGTTAATGGAAAAGGGAAAAGGACCCCACCAAAACCAAAAACAAAAAAAACAAAAAAAAAAGGGAGAATACGAGAGACTTCAATTATTTGAAATAATCGAACTTCCCCCCCCCCCAGTGTTAAGCACCGTCCATATATGATGGGACGTGATTCAACCTTCACTCCTTCTTGGCGCTAGTTCAACCGTTGATCTGCAATCCCGCAGCGTTCTCTCTCTCTCTCTCTCACACACACACACACACACAGAGTCAGCCTTTTTTTGGGTGGAATGCTGTTTGATGAATACATGGCAGAAAGTCAAGCCTCTGAGGGCATGCTTCTATTACTTTTTTTGGACCGCATATTGCCGTAATACCGGTGAGATGCATCTCTGGAAAGTACGAGTATGAAGTCTTCGGCGCACATTCAAACGCGTTCGCGAAACACCCTGAGCATTTCAGAAAACTGAACAACGTCAAAAATAATAATAATAATAATAATAATAATAATAAGGTCAGCCAATGGGATTATAGCAGCGTAAAAAAAAAAAAAAAAAAAAAAGGAAGGTCCAAATGGCTTGCTTGCTTGCGTCCTCTGTGGTAGACATTCAGCAGTGCCGCCTCTGGGAAGCTGGAACGAAGTTTCTGGGTTTTTTTTTTTTTTTTTTTTTCAGCGAAAAGGCCCACCTTTATATAGTCTGAGGAGTAGTGGTAGGAAGGTAGTGAAAGGCGAAAAAGAATTTGAGAGAAGAACATAGTGTAGTTATAAAAAAAAGAAAAAGCAGAGTGCGCACCTTGTCCATTTCTTTCTTTCTTAGGGCATAGTACTCGCACTACTGTAGGACTCTTTTTCTACCACTAAGCTCTGGACGTGGTTGCAGTCTGATGCACGCAGGTCTGGCCGTAATTGCAGTCAGATGCATTCCGTTGAAGGCCTACTGTGAGTATGCCCTTATTCAGTATTAACTACAATTCTTTCTTTCTTTCTTTCTTTCTTTCTGTCTTCTTTCTCTTTTCGTTGGGTTTTTTTTTTTTTTTTAAATAAAAGGCTAATTCCTTAAGCCCAACCAACTCCATTAAACCACGTTATATTCTTCTCTCAAATATTTTCATCATCTTTCAAATTCTTTCAATTCACCTTCACTACCTGCCTACCTACCTACCTACCTACCACTACTCCTAAGGCTTATACAGGCCACCCCCTGCGAACATAGCTTTGTTGTCTCCCTCCAGCTCTTTTTCTTTGTTTTTTTTTTGGCCTCGCTCGACCATTCTCCCAAAAAAAAAAAAAAAAAAAAAAAAAAAAAAAAAAAAAGGAAATGAGACTGAATCCTCGGCTAAAACGCGGAAAGATACATCGCTATATTTTTTGTCCGTTGTGGAGAGTAGTGGAGCGAGGACCTCTTTCCTAGCAACAACTTGAAATTTTGGACCGTTTCTCAATTAACACGTGTCCTCCTCGAAAACTCAGGGGCCACGCTGACCTGGATATACCTGGCAGCATGGTCCCATTAGCAAAGAGGATTTGATTCAGCTCCTGAATGTGGACGTGTTTTAAGCAGAGATGCAGAAAAGCTGTTCAATCTCGAATTTCTGCACTTTTCCAGGAACACGTCTAGATTCAGGCGTTCAATCCAATCCATGTTGCTAGTGGCACCTGGCCCCTGGCAGCAACAACCACGGCCAGGGGCCAGGTCCCACTAGATGGTGTTCTTCATTTCTGGCCATGGATCTGTGTATTCCAGGCACAATCGGCGGTCAAGAATGAAGAACACCACACGCCAGTGGAACCTGGCCGCAGATCTGTGTCCAAAAAGCCGTAGGGCATATACTCGAGAGCGAGAGTCGAAAGCACTATCGACTTTTTTTAATTATTCGAAGACGGAATTGCGCTCAGATACCTCCAGGTCTGGCGGTAAATGCGGTCAGATACATTTAAGATAGAGCTATGAGCTAGCGCTCCTGTACTGTAGTGTATGCGCTCAAAGAACCGAAAAAAAACAACCCCCAAAAACAAAAAAAATCGAAAAGAAAAAATTGGGTTGGATCCACCCGAGGGTGGGTAGCCTAAACCGTATGTGTTCATATAGTCCGTAGACTATTCCCGTCCTTATCGAGGGAGATGCTAACCTTCTCTCGGCTCAACGAACACGTTTGAATAATGGAATACTCGGTATATTTATACGCTTCGCAATGGCTGCAATAAATCAGTTATGGGTTAGGGCTGCAGCTCCTGTGCAGATCGTGTGACAGGAGGGTAACGACGGGTCTGCGATGGTCATGCGCTCCACGGGGATTCCAGAGGAACTGGGGCCCGTTTGTAATACAACTCCAAGGCATAAAGAAAGAAAGGAAAAAGAGAAAACTACGGCGCAGTCAGGGTTTGAGTTTGAAAATGC